ACGCTGATATACATTATCCTAGTAGAATTCCATTTTAAGAATGAACTTGCTTTTACTGAATTCGGGCAGATGACGCGAGCGAATTGGTATATGTATTTGCTTTGCTTGAAAGTGACAACTTAATCAGAAAAACGGTTCTTTCCGCCTGACGCAGAGGAATACATAATTCATAACTTAATCCAAACTGCAGAAAGAAATACGTGCGGCAGTGTCTATGGAAGTGACGAGAAATAAGCAGCTGAAATCGAGACTCGACAAATAATTCTTCGCGCAGGAAAAAGTTTATCTCCTATTGAGCGCATGCCGCGCTACTTAAGTTAAGGCGCATTCAGTGTAGATCGACACTAGCGCTATACGCTATTTCTGGGCTTGTGGAGAAACCCAACTGAGGCCAGAGGCTTAATTTGGTCGCACGTCAGTCTGCATTACCAGCACTTGTAATTGTGGCCAGCAAAGCACGTGTTTCGATTCGTAACTAAGCATCGTGGCTGTGCTGCTGTCGTCTTCGCGGTAGGCCTTTGCCGGCCCGAAATGGCTTTGCGTTCACAAGGTGCGTGTATGATAATTTCGAGCTTCAAAATAGTGTGTATGTACCAGAATCTCATTCACCACCCTTTACACGCTCTTCCGTTGCTTTTGCTGTGCGCGGTTTGCGCCCTCAAGGCTTTATGGCATTACGAATGCTATTAGCGCGGCGCTCACGGCAACTGCTCCAGAAGACACGTCGTGTCACTCACGGTGTCGCCACCTTCTTTTCTGCCTCCTTTATCGTTAGTGTCTACTCGTTCAATTCGCTCTGTCATGACATCGTACCAGTTCTGATTTCTTGAATCCCCAACCTCAGCTGGACGGTCGGCTACGCAACTCGGCGCTACCATAGCCACATGCGTCTCTATGGTCTATCCTCCAAATCGATCCACGAATCGGAAACTCACGCAGCTGCTCATCAATAATGGATACATACAGGTTGTTCGTATTTTATTCGTCTTCTTTTCCTTAGGATTTTTTGACATATTTTGTGGATTCCCACAAACAGTGGACTCTAAATTAGTGAGCTTCTTATTGTTTCTGTTAGTGTATTCGCGAGCAACAGATGGCACATATCTAGTGCAAAAATTATTTCTCCTATTTGCCTTCAGAACCACTCTCGGAATATTAGCTTGGACCCAA